AAGGCTTAAGATCAATATTGTCATAGTAAAAACTTTAGTAGAAGATTGCTCCATATTAACTAGCTCTTATGAATCTTATATTCATGTTCGATAAGCTTGTATTACCATAGACAGTATCAATATAAATGGCTGCTCCTGATAGGATAGCAGTACTATATTCTATAGTGACATTTTATATGTCAATAAGACTTGTTTGGTATAAATAGATTGCTCCACCATAAACTGCAATATTTCTTGTGTAATTTGAGCCAAAATCCGAAAATCTTGAGTTGCTAATGTAGACTACACCTCCATATTTTTTCTAGTAATTGTTTAAAAATACATTTCGAGTAAATTATACTATGGATGCATTTGTTATATATATAATGCCATAAGTTTCTGGTGACATGTTGTCTAATAATTATGTCTCACTTGGAAAAGTGAATTAGCTATTTTATTAAAATTTTGAATCAGAAATGTATATCTCAGTGTTGAAACCTACACTGGAAATGCATGAGCCACTTGGACTTTGGTATTATGAAAAATCAGAGTTAGATATATTTATTGATTTTGCATTTTCCAAATGGATGACTCCACCCATCATATTAGCTTAATTTTAGGACTGAATTAAATCATCAATATAAACTTCTAAATTAATAGAATCAATATACATTGTTCCTCCATAATTTCTAGCATATGTCTTAGTGATTTCAATATTTTACTTAAATATCAGTGTCTATATCTCCCCTAATAACTATCTTTCATCAAAATTTATTAAACCCCAAGAATCTCTAGCTAGTATTCTGGATTTGCTTTAATCATATTAGTCCTCTAGTAGAGATTTAATAAAAATAAATCCTCCATTATTATAAGCAGAGGAATTTTGAATATTATTTTTTATATATCTAGTCTTCCTCTGGATTTAAGGATTAGTTTTTGCTCATAATTTTCTATTTAGGTATTAGCATTTGAGAAAGTAAGCTGAGATCATATAAACTTTTAAATTTTAGCTTTTTGAGTTTTAGGTAATTATTTGCAATGAGTTATGGAATTCAAGAAATTTAAGTCGTTTTGAAGTAATCAGAATATATATTTTATTGAACACACAGATTGCAACCCAATTCAATTTTCTTAAACTAGATTACACTAACAGACTCTACTAATAATTTTAGTCCAAGGACATCATGAAATGCAACGGCACTCTTTTAGTCCAGATTTTAAAGATCAAAACTATCAAACTTTCTTGTCATTTTATGATAAAATACTACCTTTTTAATTTCTCTTCCTAAAATCAATTAAAAATTATTAAAACTCACCATTTTCAGTACTATCTTTTGCTGTTTACAATTATTATTCAATAGTTTTTAGCATAGATTTAACCTACCTTATTACTGAAATGTCAATTTAAATTGTATAAATGTGCAATTTTTCTAGTACATCTGAAAAGAACTATCTAACAAAGCATTCATCTTTAATCGATTGAACACTTAGATTATAAGTCTTTTTTGAAGGTTTAAAGAATAATAAGGCTCATTATCATCTTGTTATATCTGGATAGCTTAAGTATTTCTTAAATTGTTTATTTAAAAGATCAATTAGCATATTTCCTTATTTTCTAAAGTAAGCGTAGGAGAATATGAAGAATAGCAAGTAGTTTGGAGTTTTTTAATTGAACAAAGAAATCATTTAAATTTTCTTCAATTTATTAGTTGCTTAAAAGTCGTTATATTTTTAAGGTATCAATTTTCAATTGGTAATGAGTTCTAATTATTGGACATTAAATTAATTGATCAATTTTTAAATGCTTAATGAGACAAAAGTAATCTAATTAGCAATTTTGAACAGCCAATTGTGTAATTTTGCTATTAAAATACATTAATGCTGATTGAGTCTTTGGAAGATTAGCCTGCTATTGTGAAATTGCTTAGGAAAATTGTAAGGAAAGGGATTAAAAATATGACATTTAAAATGATCACATGCATGTCTTAGAATGATCCTTGAGTGGAATCAAGATATAAAGATATCTGGACGCTGCTTACTACATATCAGGCAAAAATATATGCACTTGATGAGTCATTAATTAAAAAATAAATAGACTTCTACGTTGTCAACTCAGATACATATTACCCTAACCATCCAGATTGCAACTTAGACCATATTAAAGCTTCAAGTCTTCATATGATTCTTAAAAATTTCATTCCTGGATGTACATCACTTGATTGGCATAAGTAAAGAGATCTGTCTACTCTTTTGACTACTGAAGTTCATAAACCATATCTCTTTGTTTTCACATCGGTTCAATGAGATCCCATTTTATGCAATTATATAGTTAATTTTGATTCTGACTATTAGAAGCCAAAACTTTATGGTAAAGGCTAGAATATAAATAATCTTAACTTATCATCCCCTTCGAAGGGTGCTGTAAACACATATTAGAGCACATTTTCTTTTTCTTATAAACCTGCTGTACCTCTATCAAAGTAAAATTTTGAACAAGCGCAGAATACTTAGAATGATTAGTTGAGCACTTAAGAGACTTGCAGTTCAGTCCAAAAGTTCAGTAATCAAGAAAAGATTGTATTTTGTAATGTTTGCTAATATCTAATGAAGGAGAGTAGTTACTAATTTCATGTCAAAAATACTGATCATTTAGCTAAATATGCAAGATAATACTAAGAAGTATTCTTAGAGATTGATTAGGTATGTATACAGTTAAAAGAAAGAAACTAATACAGAAAAATGAGAGAATAGAGTATCTATATTAAATAGCCTAATGCTGGGTTGACACTTTATCTATAATAAAACTTTAATGAGGCATCATTTGATTTAGGTAGGATAATGCAAGATTCAGTTCAAATCAAGTAAGAGACTTAATAAGAAGATTTTATGACATACTGCAGCTAACTCTAAGGAGGCAATGGTGGTCTTGGTGATTCTATTATTATAGCAAACATCCCTTCTCAAATCTCTAATTATAACTTGCAGTCTTAAGTATTTAATCATAACTGGAATCCATATTAAGGCTAATATCTAAATTAACAAACTCTATCTTCAGTTCCTACATTAACCTATCAAACTTAGTATAATTTGAATCCAGACCAAGAAAAATTGCTGATGGATAAATTGAATGCATCAAATCATCTATAGCCATATTAAACCTAATAATTAGAAATAGGATATGGATAGACTCTTTTGCCTTAATATTAATTTCCTAATTAATTTTAGTAATAATACCATTATTGAATATAATATTCACTTTAAAGGGGTTTTGGGGTTTTGGGG